CCAGCTTTTCCTTAAATTCTGTATTTATATATCCTATATCTTATCTCTTTGATGAGTTATAAAGCGATTTGGTCGGTTCAAGTTTTCTTGGCTCATTAACTAGAATATGGTTGTAAGGAGGGTAGCCTGCTTTAAAGATGTTTGTCATACCGTAGACGAAATCATAGTACGCTTTCATCGGAATCGAAGGACATTGCCTCGGAAACGGCATCAACATGAATGCCTCGGTAGAGTCAATCGACAGCTGATCAAGAGATACGCGTTGTCATCGTCTGGTGGAATCGACCTTTGAATCCCTACACCAAACATTTTCACTCGACATGAAAGTGAGCTCAACCAGTGAGAAATCGCTGGATGATTCTGTATCTATCTATCTACGTCTGTACATTTTTGCTGTTAGTTATGACTATATATAATGAGTAAGATGGAGCCAGACAGTCTTCTTGACCTAGTGTTAACTTGAGGCATTTGCAAGAATGAATTCCATCTTTGATGATGTCCATCATATGATGGACGAAAGCTTAGCCCGTTTTCATCTGAAACGAATGGGGATGTTTCGTTGACTGCGTCGACCTAAACGTCACATCAAAGCCAAACGGCTGAAATGCAGCGGAAATCAGGCGCCGTCTTCTGGTTAATTCAAAGTTCGAATTGCTTCCTAATGCACTTTTATACGAAATGAAATTGCCATCTTTGGAGATACCCCGAAAACTGGTAACTCTTAATATCTTAATTTAAAGCATAGGATTACACTTGCATTTATGCTTTTACGCGTATTTTTAAGGTTTTATAATGTTTTATCATAACCTGTTAAAAACTTTATTATTTGGCTTAATTGCTTTTGTTTACACCCTAAAGTGGCCACCTGAGCTAAGAATCGCAGACATGGAATGCCGTAATCTGGAAATTCTCCCTATAAAACAATGTTATATTCTAGAGTTTTATTGCATTCTATGCCTTATTAAATCGTGAAATGCTCTCCGAATAATCTCCGTTCTTTTACTAGGAATATTTGGTCTAGCAATAATACAAAATTTAGAAATAATTTTGCATGATATACATGATGGTTAACTTTCTTAGTCGGCACTTTCTTGCTCTTGGTGAAAGTGATAAAGCTCGACAAATTTGGTACCCGTAAGTTGTGAGTAGATGTGCAGAAAAATCGGTTTCCGGTAAATCCCTTAGCAGATTGACGTTCAAGTACTCTTCATTTCATTTGATGAGATGAGTGAAGTGCATTTGTAAGTTCACCTTATCGGAAGCCGAAGAGGTGCTACCTCGGAGCTATGACTGTAGATTTGTGCGAAAAAGTCTTCGGTGCCCCGGCCTACGACTCAGATGAATCCTTTCCGAACTTTCGCCCGTCATGTGACGGACATTGTCAAAGCAGGACACTATGCTTTGGGATAATTCGCTAAGCGCGTATTTGTGGGAGACCTGCCGACCTATAAACAAGAGATTATCAACATTGAATGATCGAAAATAAGAATAAATAGGGTGAAAAGTGCATCTAATTTATGCTTCATCCGCAGCCAGTTCACTTTTAAACAAGCATTTAAGAAAGCATAGGATATCCAAATAATCAGGGGACAACAATTTGGCCATAAAAAGTGGGCAGGTTGCAGCCGACCGGCTTTCTCGTCTTCGTGTTTTGGTGAAATATTTTAAAGCAGGATGCCCTGTTCTGACAATGTCCATCACATGACGGACGGTAAATAGAATAATTTTTCTCCCAAATCTACAGTCATAACTGCGAGACAATCCCTTCTTGACTTCCGGTGAGACCAATTTACGTATCCTTTGCACTCACCTTGTCAAACGAAAGTTACTTCGACATCAATTTATCAAGGGATTCTTCAAAGCTTAGCTTTTCTATATATCTACAAAAAGTAGTTTTGTCATTGTTAGCAGTAGGCTGTGCGTTCTCATTTCTACGCAGTCTTTACACGCCAACATACAGAGTGTCGTCGTGATGTTAATGAACGAATACACATTCGATATACTTTTGTTCTTTTTGTTTTTGCGCAGATTAAGATGCTCGGATCAAGGTCGAGCGATCAGACATTGATCCGGCAACAAGAGGAGGATCGGTTGACATCTCTGGCCAGATCTGTGCGTAAGGAGGAAGGCAGCAATAAAGTGAGTTCCGTGGGTGTGAAAAGGGAAGATCGAAAGGAAATCCGACTCTTGACGAGCATTTCGCCAAGAGGGGCTCAGCTGAGACAAGGATCATCCTCTCGAGGATACAGCATGAGGTCACCTCATCCAAATTATAGACTTAGCTTGACCTCGCTGTCGAGAGTTGGCCATATTTGCACAGTGACAAGGC